TGGTGTCTTCAGGAGAATATGGGCATATTATCTTCAAAGTGATCATGACCGAATACTTCTATATCCTTTCCAATTCATCGTTCAAAATCATCTTAACACCGAGCGCTACATTACAAATAAAACTGAAATTAACTTGAAATAACAATAATCAATCAGTGGTAATACTCATAATGCTTAAATAGATCCCAAAAGAAATATGTATGAATGACGGCGTGTGTTATTACCAATAAATCTCAGACATCGATATTATTACGTATAGACCCGTTGCTAGGCAACGACTCGGGAAACATATTCCCGCGGAAGCGTAGGCACGCAACAAGAGGACGTCCAGTTTTAGGCAACGTAACAGTAAACAAGTTGTCTCAAAAATACAGAGGCTATGTTTGCCATGTGGTCTGTGCCGAGGGCTTATAAAGGGACAAAGAAGGCTTAAACTTGGCGGTGGTCAGCCTTACGACCGTTCAAGTGACTAGGTTGCCGTTGTAGTATAAGATTTGTAAGATGTACTAAGATTTATCTTACCATTGCCCTCCAATCCAAGCTTATCTCTTAATGTGGTCTCATCCTTTGAAGTTTTCTGCTAAATTTCTGTTTGTATTTCTCATTTCTCCCCTATCTTGTCCATCTAATCCTTTTTCTTTTTTCATTTATCATCCTAACAATATTCAGCGAAGAGTCTGAACTAAGGACGTTATGCAGTTTTCTCTGTCTTCATATTATTCTCCCCTTCTAAGGTCTAGACATTGTTCTCAGAGCCCTCTTTTAAAATATTACCACGTGTATGAACGACTATAGACGGGGTTTGGATTGGTAATTGGGTTTATTGAACACCTACAGACAGTAACTACAAGTAACTATAGCGCTATAACTAATTCACACACTATACAATTTACTACAGCTCGCACTAATTGTTCTCATTCTGTTGTACCTTCACCGGTTGTCGACTGGTAACGGTCACCAACACCATAGTTTCTTCGACTTCCTTGTTCACGCCCTTACTGGCCGGAGAACCTCTCACAACTCACTCATTGCTTCAACTGACGGTCATTTCACACCAACCTTCTATTGTTCTCACTCTCGTCTCAGGACTCTAGACTCTCAACTAAGTCACTCACCAAACAATCACTTCACTGCACCGCACTCCTAATGTAGCCTCGGCACGGACCACATAGGAAACATATCTCCCAACGGTTCCTCTATTGTTGCGTGACTTGTCAATTGGGCTATTTTCTAGCAACGGCCGTTGTTTACAGAGTTATTACTTAGCAGTGGGTCTACATGCTACAATATCTTTAACCTATGTTGTTCCATTATGGCGAAACAAATTATTTTCCTATGACAGACTCACAAATGATTCCCTCTGATCAATAACACTGAGATGGTTCTCCGTGGTCACAAACCAGTTGCAAGTAATACTAATCCTGACGGTAGATGGCTCTGCCAAGGGTAGTCTCTCTGCCATCAACTGCCGTCAGTTTAATAAAACAATTCTTATTTAGAACAGATTTTTGAGACCTGTATTTTTTTCAGTATTAGATATTATAATCTGAGTTTAAGTAAGCGAATACTTAGATCAGAATTCTGCAGTTCCATACTTCAATGCCCTTGACAGTTACTTCCATTGTATTCCGGTTATTAGTCACATCGCAAACTGGGACAAAATCTGAAGAAATGTGCAGTTCCATGTCATTCGGGCCCATGATCTCACTACAAGTGTATGAGGTAACTGCAGACAATTAGCCAACCGCTGAGCACGCCTGAACCTTCAGGCAACTTACAGTTCCTCATTGTGCCTGCCAGCAATAGGCCCAACATTACTATTACCCTGATTTACTTTAGACAAGGGGTGTCCATCATATTGCGCATCGCAAGCACGTTACGCAGCAAAGATAAAATTACATTTTTTTTCCTCTTCTTTTGCCGATCATGATCCTTTCCGAGATGAGAGGGATCCTTGCGCCCCTCTTATTCTTGGATGTTCAGTAAAGCGATAAGTACACGCTTTGCGGTGTAAAATTTCAAGAGGCATACTTTCTACACGATTATATATCATTTCTTTGATATTCTTGTTGTCTCTTACACCATTTACTCTACTTCTAATTATTTCCTTTTATCGATATTCTCATGTTATCCCTCAGCTGGATACCGAGTGGTCGCAGGGACCTCGGATAACATTCGAATTTATAATATTAACAGACTTCAAGTGTAAGAATCATTCATGAGAAGTCGATACTTAATTTTGCCAAAAAATTCCCTGGGAAGAGAGTTGTATTTTTGATATCCTTGATAGATCTGTTTTCTTGCAGATTACATATGTTAAATTGCCTGGCGATTAAGTGTACGTTAGCTAAACAATTAAGCATTATCTCTCCTACAAGCGTATGTTTCCTGGTACTACGGACTCGATTGCATTAGTCGGTGTAATGTAATTACAAGAGAGAAATGTGAATGAATGTGCTTGCGTCTTGACAAAATAGAGAATGTTGCTATTTCATGAATGGACGGATGTTGTTCTACATAAACACGTGATACTATCATTTGAGGAATAAAATTTCATAATAAAATTGAAAGTCGTGGAAACGGGCAAGGCCTATTGGAACCTGTTATTGTCTAAACACGACATAGAGCACGTTTTTTTACAAGCTACGTGTATCACTTTTCACAAATGAAAAGAAAATAAATTTAAATTGGGTTTAACACCGCACTCTGCATACGAAACAATATCTATCCATAGGGCTCTCTCCTGGACAAGTTAATCCAGTACAAATCCTTACAAATACATTTCTTAAGAACCATTTTAATATAATCCTTAAACATATATATACGTCAAGATCTCTAATGTGGTTATTTTCTTCCAACTTCATCGTTCATTCATCAATGGCTCTACAGTCTTTTGTGGGGCCCTGGTCACTTCTTCATTTCTGTAATATTTATTACACAGTTGGTATGACTCCTTGGACGAGTGATCAGCCCGTCACAAGGTCACTATCTACACACAGAGCAACATAAACACAGAATAAACACATATACACATCCGTGCCTTGGGTGGGATTCGAACCCTAGATCCCAGCGTTCGAGCAAGATAAGAGAATTCTTCTGACGATCGTGTATCCTGTACAGAACTATAAGGTTAATTTGGTCTCTATCCATCGTCTGGTATATATGCCAGACGATGGATAGAGTCCAAAATAAACCTTATAGTTCTGAAGAGAATTCTTGCCTTTGTCCGCTCAGTCACCGTGACCGGCTTTCTTCCACGTTACTAAACTAAAATTTTACATGAGTTTTCATTCTTTACCAAGCTTGCCATACGACATATCAATCTTAATACCTCTGACCTGATCATCCTAACAATATTTGGCCGACAGTATAAATTATGAGTCTCCTCTTTATGTAAATGTTGCATCATCAAGTTACGATTAATTCCTCCTATCCGTAGGTTCAATTTTTCTCTTTGGAGTTTTGTTCTCAAGCCACTGAATTTATGCGCTCAGCCTCTTTTCTTTTCAGGAAAGGAAGTAGACCTATGAGATCATCATGCTGTGTGTGTGTGTGTGTGTGGGCGTTTGTACGTCTTTCTGTCTAGCTGTGTGTGCCACCATCATAATTTGTTAATGAGGTGTCCCATTTTCATGATATTCTGCCTAGATATTTTGACCCAACTCACATCTCTAATACTCTGTAATTCTTAATAACAACATGGCGGACGCACGAACTTCTGAGCGCCACTAGCGCCACTTATTATAGGGTCCTGAAATGAACCTGGGTACTAGTTGTTCGAAAAAACATTAAACTTTTTTAAGGATTATTTTATTGAATGACTATAAGTAAGGAACCAATGGACGTAAGCATGTGAAACTTATTATAAAATACACGTAAATCATAAACATGCCCATAAATCCTGTATTGTCTATCACTTAATGATTACAAATTTGGTGACTTAAAATTTTGAGGTTATGTCCAATCAACTTTACCTAAACAAGATTTAGGTAAAAATTTGTTCCCTAATAATAATAATAATAATAATAATAATAATAATAATAATAATAATAATAATAATAAAACTCAAGTAATAATTTAGAAACAATAAAGTAAATAATAATTCGATTCATTTATTATATTCTTGGCCACAACTTGAAGCCAATTACAGGAAAGCACCGAAAAAATAAAAATACATTAATGTAGAAGATGGGGGGCAGAATGGACAAAGAAGAGAAAAAATGTGCAAAGAATACATCAGAAATTAAATAATATATATAAAATTAGAGATATGAAGAAAAAAATTCCTCAATGAATATTATAAAGCATTCGCTGAATCAATCTTCCTGGATGTAAGGCGAAATGTTAACGTGTTCATCTGCATAAAATATGCCCGGTAGAATCCAGTAGCCTTTCAACCAGATCACTAGGGCCGCGCCATAGCTCAAGCGGTTAGTCGCTGGCTTCCCACCGCGGCGGCCCGGGTTCGATCCCGGTTCTGGTCAAGTGGGATTTGTGGTGGACAAAGTGGCGCTGGGGCAGGTTTCCTCCGAGTACTTCGGTTTCCCCTGCCAATCTTCACCCCACCAATTGCTCCACAGTCACCCTCACCTATCATCTGGGGCTGGTACAATAGGCCAGAAGTGGCCGCAGTACAAGGGACTTAGTCCCACCCCACTAGCAATAAAAAAAAACTAGATCGCTTGATCGCGGATATCGACCATTCGACTTATATTTGCAATACCCTGAGGTCACTGAGCACTGTCAATTACAATCGAATTATCTGCATTGTGGTTGCAAACACGTCATTCGTCTCAAGTACGCAAACGATAATAATGTCCCCTCCCTTGCTGAAAATTCTTGGAGCAAGTGAAAGCAATGGCATCATTGTCTTCAGCCTGTTCTTGCACGAAATAATTTGGTCTTTAAATTACGTAGTGGTGGTAGTTCTGTATAAATATCACACAGTACCGCCACATGTATCAGTGTCTCTACGGTCTCTACAGTGAACTACGAGAAACATGGCTGCTAAGGTGGGTTATCACGTGGTTCTCCAAATTCATTGGGGGTTAGCGGGGAAAACTGCTTGATATGTGTAAAATACAGAATGATCCTAAATTATTGTCGGGGTTCTCGTGACCTATAATTTTCAAAGCAGAAAATAACAATTAAAACTACTTATGGAATATGAAAATGGAACTCAAAAGTATTATTACTTATAGAATCAATGCTGCAGAATGCTTTTATATTCCGAAAGCAGTTCTATTTTTTTTCTGGTTTGAAAATTACAGGCCACCGAAACCCCGAAAATAATTTAGAATCAAATTGTTTTTAGGAGCAACTAAATTTTGGGACCATATTTATGCATATTTCTCACAGAAATTTTATTTTGTGTCGAATGACAGACACGAAAATATATTATTATCCTTTAACTAGGAAAACTCTTTCTGAAATAGCTAGTAAATATTTAGACGCGTTGTTATGAAACAGATACAGTAAGCATCTGAAAGGAGAAAAAAGCACAGTGAGGAAGAAGAGCAATTATCTTCTGAGACATAACGCCGTACAGTCTGGTGAAAGACAACTGACGTCTCGGAGGAATACGTCGTCTCTCTCTTCAGCATCGAAGAGTAAGCCAAAAAGTAATCTAACGCTCCGCTTTGCTCGCTGCCTGCTGCAAGCTGATTTGTCATTCTCCAATCCTGAGGATGGAAGAAACAATTTCCTCCGAAACGACAGTTGAATTTCACCGGCTTACAATGTGTTGTATCCAAGCCACTGTTGTGAGAACCCCAAATCCTACAAGTAAGGGAGAAATTATTGCAATAATTTTATGACTATTTAAGTTACCTTACTGTGTAAGTGGACTTAGATATGTCATTCTCACATCTTATTGATTTTCGCGTATATGCACATGTGTCCGTTGTAATGTATGAAATATCGCGCTCTGAAGGATAAAGGTGTATCGGTTTCGAGGTTTTCATGACTGTGATCATTGTGTGTGTGAATTTGACTTAACTATTGAATATAAAATAGGATACGAGTATAATCAATAATGGTGATTGTTAAGATTGTGATCTACGGCGTTCTAAGATTGTTTATTTTTGTGAACGGATACGGACGTTTCGGAGGGTCCTCATTCTTCCATCTTCAAGATTGAAGATTTAGGTTCAGACATAGGCTTCATTTTGTAGGAAAATTAAGAGAAGAGTGATCATGATAAACATGGAGAGAGGGAGTAAACGAAAGGAACTCGATCCTAACCAATGGGAAGCAATGAACAACAACAACTCTTGTAAGGGACACACTCGTCCTTCAGCAAGGTGAGAAGTGGAGGAGTGACAGAGAAAGAAATCTTCCATGAATCCAGTGTTGGTATCGGGAGGCGAGTAGAATGTGTGAGGAACTTAATACTCGTATTTTTCACTGTTTTAACGGAGAAAGGACGTAATGAGGTCAGGGAATGAAAGTCAAAAAGGAAAGAAAGACAAAGGATGAAGATACGAAAAAATATATATTCCTCTTTGAATTTCGATGATTTGTGTACCATACAATTTTAAGGAAGGAGGTCGCTTGGGGAACCGGTGTCTTTGCTGTTGAGCATTTACAACGAAATATCACACCGCAATTGTATTGCAGCCGTTCGCAGTGGCCGCGCGGTCTAAGGCATGAAATGTCTTCTCCCGCTCGAACCCTGGGGTCGTGGGTTCGAATCTCACTCAAGGTATGGATGTCTGTGGTTATTCTGTGTGCGACGGGCTGATCCCCCGTCCAAGGTGTGCTACCGACTGTTTCATATTAAAAAATGAAGTGAAACGAAGCTTTTCACGAATGTCCTATGCTCCAAATGGGAGCAACAGGAATAGAAGAAGAAGATGATGATGATGAAGATAAATAAAAAAAAGAGGAGGAGGAGGAGGAGAAGAAATTATATTGCAATGTAATTAGGGACCTAAAATTCTCAGTCTGGTTTACTCTCTCGTATGAACACACGCGTAGGCGTACATGTATATGAAGGCTAACGAATATGAAAACGATTTTAATCAAATATCAATTTTTTTTGCATAATTAAAATGAATGTTCCTAATTATAGGAGGCATCTAATTATATTTTGAATTTTGAAAGCATATAATAGTATATTGGAGGGTTTACAAATAACCGGACAAATTTTTATAATTTCAGTTCTTCGTTCTAGCCGCTCTTGTGGCTGTCACCAAAGCCGGTTACATAGGTGCGCCTGCCGTAGGTTATGCTGCTGCTCCCGCTTTTGGTTACGCCGCCCCAGCGGCCGTCGCCGCCCCCGCCATCACGTCACAGCAATCCAACATCCTGAGGAGCTATGGCAACCTGGGACAGGTGTCCACATACTCCAAGACCATCGACACCCCGTACTCCAGCGTCCGCAAGTCCGACGTCCGAGTCAGCAATGACGCTCTTGCCTACCCTGCCGCCCCCGCTGTTGCTGCTTATGCCGCCCCTGTAGCTTACCATGGTGCCTATCCCGCTGCAGCTTACCACACAGCTCCCGTCGCCACTGCTTATACCGCTCCCGCTCTGGCAGCCCCCGTTGTTAATACAGCTGCAACCGCCATAGCTGGACACGGTCTCCTGGGCGTCGCTTATTCTGCCGCCCCCGCAGTCGCTCACATGACCTACAGCAACGGTCTGGGCATTTCCTACGCCTATTGAAAGGTCACCGTTTCTTCCCGGCAAACTGGAATGCTAATATCTCGCCGAAACCAAGACATTTTTCTTTACATCTCAAACCATCTTCACTTGTATACACTTATTTATAAATGCACATTCATACTTGTAAATAAACGTTTATGAAAATTTGATCAGCCTCTTTTCTCTACGTCGAACCATAAGCAAATACCAGTAGAGTGTGTAGTATATTCATGAATGGTGAATTGCAGGTTCCAGCATAGGCTGGAAGCCTTGTATTTAGATTTCTTCTTGGAAGCTTAATTTCCTTTCTAGGCTGATTTCTAAGTTTCCATTATTTCCATTTCTCAGACAAATGAAGCAGTACATTTTAGGATATCTGCATTTATGGGCGCATTTGTTCCAAAGTATTTAGTTCCACTTTTGATGCCGTATATTTGAACACGATATTAGAGTAATGATACAGTTATATTTGTTTGATAGGTACATAAGACATCTCAATATCTAGGAAAAACATTCTGTACTAAGAACGATTTTCATGTTTCATGTTGATTTATTTCCACATTCGTGTTACACATTCAGCCTTCCTTGATTTTATCGGCCCAATAAAATTTATAGAACAGGAAAAATTATATAGCTTTCGTTATGCTGTTTTCTCCATTTTTGTGTCACTATCTCTCCTTAGGTCCGAATACACTCTTCGATACAACACGCGTTCTTCCTCTATGCTGATACACTTTATTTCGCACCCGTATATCAAGCACTGCCGATCACAGTGGCCGCGCGGTCCAAGGCATGAACTATCTTCTCTAGCTCAGGCCGCGCCACAGCTCAAGCGGTTAGTCCCTGGCTTCCCAACGCGGAGGACCGAGTTCGATCCCGGGTCTGGTAAAGTGGGATTTGTAGTGGACAAAGTGGCGCTGGGGCAGGTTTTCTCAGAGAACTTCGGTTTCCCCTGCCAATCTTCATTCCACCAAATTCTCCATCATCATAATCAACCGGGGCAGTTACAATAGGTCATTCAGTGGCCGAAGTGCCGAGTGGACCCAGCTAGACTCCACTCCCACCTTCGCTTGCTCGAACGCTTGGATCGTGGGTTCGAATCCCAATCAAGGTATGGATGTCTGTGTGTGCGTTTATTCTCTGTTTGTGTTGTCCTGTGTGTAGGTAGCGCCCTCGTGACTGACTGATCACTACTCCAAAGAGTCCTACCGTCTGTGTAAAATTGATTACGAAACTGAAGAAGAGGCCATGGCCCAACAAAGGGCTGTACAGCTAATGATGAATGAATTCTATGCAGTAGATTATTAGGCGCTTGGGAGTTTAACCCATGGCAGAAGCTCTAAAATGGTAGGAATGATGATTGTGTGTATCAGCAGATACTCTGACAAAAAGAATGCAAGGAAGCATTCATGTCTCGGGCGGAAGGCACAGATGTAAAGAAGTTGACATTTTGTATTCACGTACCGTAACGCCATCTGTTCACCAATAAAGCAAGACAGAAATCGGCATTACAGGTGATCATTGTGTGAAGTAAGAATGGTATCAGCTGAGGGTGGAGCTTCTGTGCAGTTCTGTGACCTCCACAAGGTGGTCCGGTGAGCTGTGCCCTGCTCCTGCACGTGCTAGTCTAGTTCCACGACAAGCAAACCTCATTCTGTTCACATTAAAATGAGTCACCTTGATCCATTAGCAAACACATAGACACCTAGATATTCCGTGAGGCAATACTGGAATTTGGTTCGAATTCGTTCCCCTGCGCAAACTTATTTACTAAGGACAGCCTTCAGTTTACGCTTTTTAAATTTTTTTTTATTTTCCGTGGCCTGTAGTCCGCAAGCGAACTATACCGACCGAGCGACCGCCCCTTGTCGGCGAAGTTAATGCCAAATTTGCGGACAGAGGGTGTCACGTGGTCAGCGCAACGGATCCCCACGGCCGTTGCTCTCGGTTTTTGTAGTCACCAGAAATATAGGCTACATTGTAGATAAGAAATAAATAAGATAATGTTTTCCTAAACCGAGAATCGACTAAGGAAAAAAGACAAGAATGAAGAAAAGAGAGAGAAGCACATTGAGGGACAAAGAACAAGAGGGAAAGAAAAGAAAACTGTGTATGACACAGCGATAAACTAATGAGAGAAAAAAGAAAGAAGAGAAATAAAATACTACAATTATAGTACCACGCTTTACCCACAATAATATATAAGGGGTGGGCCTTCTTTGCACTTGAACCGCGACCACAGTGATCTATTGAGCCTTATTTTTCCCACAATAAGTATGCTGTACATTAGTCCCCGGGTGTTGTATCAGAACTGTCCGTGTGTAGGAAGAATTGTTATCATAGAAAGGTTCCTGATGATGACCCAAATTATAGGTCGAAACACGTAGCGCACTCACTCACTCAAGGAGTTGAGCCCTTCTTGAGAAACTGCCAGTTGTGCAGCTATTTCAGAGCTTCCCAACATTATATGGAGCCCGAATTTTCATTACAGTGACTATAAGAGCTCTCCACTGGTTCCTATCCTGAGCCAGACCAATCCAATCCATACCATCCCATTCCATCTCTCTCAAATTCATTTTAATATTGTCCACCCACCCACGCCTTGGTCTTCCCAGTGGTATCTTTCCATATGGCTTTCCCACCAATATCCTAAATGCATTCCTCTTGTCCACCATTTGTGCTACATGCCCTGCCAACCTCATTCTCCTTGACTTGACCATTCTAATTATACTTGGAGAAGAGTACAAGTTATGAAGCTCCTCATTATGCAGTTTTCTCCAGTCTCCTGTCACTTCATCTCTCTTCGGTCCAAATATTCTCCTCAACACCCTGTTCTCAAACACCCTCAGTCTATGAAGAAAGCAGTCTTTTGGGATTTGGCACCGTGTATATGTGGTGTTAACCGACGTTTCGGAGGAACGTATCGCCTCCATCTTCAGGGCAGAAGAAAAAATATAAGAAATCTGCAAGCGAAGAGACCGTGAGAACCGGTAAAAGCAGAAATCCCAAAAGACTGCTTTCTTCATAGTCACCGCCGTGAAAGCCTCAAATCTTACACCCTCAGTCTATGTTCCTCCCTTAGTGTCACAGACAAACTTTCACATATATACAGAACCACAGATAAAATTATAGTTTTGTATATTATCATTTTTATGCTTATACTCGTATTAAATAAGTAAGATACAGGTCAACACCTGTTTTTGTCTTCACGTGAAGATATTTCCGCTCTATTGTTGTGTTGATGGTCATAACCATAAGCTGTTGTCATGTTATCCTGCGTGACGGGCAGAAGATCACTAAGATTTTATATACATTAGTTTTTTAATTGTTTCATTTTTGGTCCGTTACACTATCAATCACAAAGTCAATAAAAAGTCCGTCGAGTGTAACAATTTATAGGTCACTTCTTTATCACATTTGCCTTACATGTTTCGGTTTAATAAAACCATCATCAGAGGCAGTGTTTTCAGGCTTGTAGTATGTGCCTCTGATGATGGTTTTATTAAACCGAAACATGTAAGGCAGGTGTGATAAAGAAGTGACCTATAAATTCTTACACTCGACGGACTTTTTATTGACTTTGACATTAGTTTTTGTTATATTACATCGCAACACAGCAAGCGTACGGCATTCCTAGGTTTCTAGAGAAGCAGAGTAGTACTTTAAAAGCTGATAGTTACCCAGTTAGTCAAGACAGTCCCCACCTGTTATGGAACTCGATGATTCATTGCAATTTTCACAACGGCACGCCATTAGGCACTATCCTGGGCCAGTCTAATCCAGCTCACTTCCTCATATCGTATTTCTTTAGAATCCGTTTCAATATTATTCCAGAACATAAAATATATCCTATCTGAAAAAATGAAAGATGGATTCAAGTCAGCATTCCTAAGGAACCATTAAATTCCAGCACTGTGTCCTTCGTTAGTTGTTTAAATATCACAAAAGTTTTCGAGTTGTAGCAATGAAAACATGTAAATTGTAGAATAAACATTTTCCCCACTGACGTTAATGAAGCTGTCATACAACATACACAATGAATATCAGAGTTACATACATTACATATTTCTGAGAAAAAATTATCATAATAATTTCAGGAATTTATGTTAAGTGACATTAATGTCGATCCTACAACTGAATTTGTTGCAACTGGCATATTGATACAATTGATGCTCAAAAGTGTAAGAAAGTTGTCACTCCGTGACCCATATTCCGCAAGCGAAATATACCGACCGAGCACCGCCGCTTATCGGCGAAGTTAGTGCCAACTTTTGCGGATAGAGGGTGTTACGTGGTCAGCGCAACGGATCCCCATGGCTGTTAATCTCGATTTTCTCGACCGGAGTCGATATTTTTCCATTCAAGTAGCTCCTCAATTATGCTCACGAGGCTCAGTGGACCCCGTTCCAGACCCACTGCTTCTCAGAAAATCTGGTAGCGCCGGGAATCTGTAGCCAGGAGCTCTGCACTAGACCACAGAGGCGGTCAGGAAGTTGTCACACAATATCTAAATGTTCAGTCCAAGTTCACGAAAATTCGTCTGTTTTTAGGGGACACTGGGATACACAAAATCGCAAGGACGCAAGAGGAAGAAAGGCATACGTATTCGAATATGATAATATAAGACTATATTTTATTATACATTCCTAATAAATGGGCCTTCTTGTGGATTTTCAGGCAATGGATATGGCATATTAATTCTGATTTAAATTAGCAATGAGGTTTCTAACCGATTAAAATTTTGATATTTCAGGCGAAATTTCATTAATATCATTGCAAAATTCTTGTTTTTTTAAAAGTGAAAGTTCAATTGCATGTACTAGTTCTGCAGGTGTCAACAATTTTGCATACGCCAAGTCAGCATATATAAGGACAGCAGGACCACTGCCAAATCACAAGTGAATAACCAGTAGAGTCCATATCACAGCATTACAGCAATGGCAACCAAGGTGGGTTAAGCTAATGTTTCACTGGTAGCATAATGCATATTAATAAATTTATCTAAGGTTCCGTGAATCACAGTTGATGAATACGAAAGAAGAGGAGGAGGAGGAGGAGGAGGAGAAGAAATTATATTGCAATGAAATTAGAGACCTAAAATTCTCAGTCCGGTTTACTCTCTCGTATGAACACACGCGTAGGCCTACATGTATATGAAGGCTAACGAATATGAAAACGATTTTAATCAAATATCACTTTCTTTGCATAATTAAAATGAATGTTCCTAATTATAGGAGGCATCTAATTGTATTTTGAATTTTGAAAGCATATAATAGTATATTGGAGGGTTTACAAATAACCGGACAAATTTTTATAATTTCAGTTCTTCGTTCTAGCCGCTCTTGTGGCTGTCACCAAAGCCGGTTACATAGGTGCGCCTGCCGTAAGTTATGCTGCCGCTCCCGCTATCGGTTACGCCGCCCCCGCCATCACGTCACAGCAATCCAACATCCTGAGGAGCTATGGCAACCTGGGACAGGTGTCCACCTACTCCAAGACCATCGACACCCCGTACTCCAGCGTCCGCAAGTCCGACGTCCGAGTCAGCAATGACGCTCTTGCCTACCCTGCCGCCCCCGCTGTTGCTGCTTATGCCGCCCCTGCCATCGCTGCCGCCCCTGTAGCTTACCGTGGTGCTTATGCTGCCCCCGTTGCTGCTGCAGCCCCCAGTCTTCTGGGAGTGGCTTACTCTGCCGCCCCCGCTGTCGCTCACATCTCCTACAGCAACGGTTACGGCATCAACTACGCCTACTAAGTATGCAAAATGACGGGCTGGGTTTGTGGCCTGGTCGAAACTATATTTAAATGTTATCCATTGCAACATATGTCAATTAAATTATATTTATTTAACTAGTGACAGGTGTTTTCTATCGTCCGCCTAATTTTCAGACTTATTCTAACAACACGCAACAGAGCGGGTTAGCGCAGCGGCAATGACATTAAAGAGAATTCGGTGGGTGAATGGTTCGAGTCTCGGCCTCGACATGTTTAGACCGAATTTGTCATAATCAGGTGTTAAAAGTTATGGGTGAAGAAACCGCTGTATTTCTGCGTTGACGTTTATTTGTTGATATATAGTTCCCCTAGTGCGCATGCGTGTATTGCAACTGCTTCAGTTGGAAACAAGACAAGGAACATAATAGTAGGACGGAGTACATAAACCAACAAGGACCAATGCACATATGCGCACTAGGGGAATCATATATCAACAAATGAACATAAACATATCCTGATTATAAATGATTATCCCAGAGCTTTCCTGAAAGGACCGAGGAAACTGATGTTACACCTAAGTTAGGAAAACTAGTCTCTAGACCAATAATTAAGAGAATATCTTCCGGATACGAAGCTGGAATTTCAACGATTGAACCGCTACGTACAGCAAGACTAAGATTCTCCGAAGCATCCACTGTCAGTGAGGTCAGTAATGACACGGAGCAGTGGCAGCGTTTTGCATGCCGTTTCTAGTACATCAGAAAATCCGACCCCCCCCCACCTCAAGGTGTCTCCACCTTGTCCCGATGGTGGGGCTTGCGTGATTCTGTGTCCTGGAGAGCTATGCCTGCGGTAGTTTAACTACAAGTAAGGTCATCCATGCCGGAAAGGTCAAAGGGTAGACTCCAGACTAAGAGAGATAACCTGGTACTCGAGGTTGGAGGTTGGGCATGAGGCACACAAACTCATCCTGTAAAATGAATTTCGTTCAGAAATCTAACAACCAGCCTCGTGTCATCATGCGTGGATCCATTCCTACGGCAGCACGCATTGGTTGTAGAGGAGGCCAGGTATCACGCCGAGTGGTGGGTAGGTAGTAGTACATCAGGAATATTAACAACTTCTCGAAGACAGAAACCACATTCGGGTTCATTGCAGTGAAGACAAAGAGGCCCTTTGAATCCTTCAGAATGCTTTAGGGTTAGCAGGCTAAATGAAGGTGTATGTTGCCACGTGTCTGCGTGACTATCGACAGGGTTTGGATTGGTAATTGGATTTACTGACCACTCACAGATCGTAACTGAAAGTAACTATAGTGATATCACTAATTCATACACGCTGCAGTTCACTACAGCACGCAGTCTTTTCAGTCTGCTGTCTTTTCACTAGTCGTTGTCTTGTAGCGGCTACAACTGCGGAAATTCCCCTTCTTCTGGATTCACGAACTATCCCAGTGCCTCAGCTTACAGGTTCTATCAGCAACAGCTCATAATGATTGAACTGCTGTTTTCTAGCTCATCAAACAACCCTTCACTTCTTTGCACTGCACCGCACTGTCAAAGTCAAAGTCAAAGTTATGTTATGACCGACGGTCAGTCGGCCAGTCTTTGTTGGAATAAAACACCCATCTGGGGCTTAAGGCCAGATCTTTATTACTGTCAGACAGTTGCAGGCTTCTTGATGTGGGGCGCTCTCTCTGACGAGAGGACGGGTCTGCCGATCGCCAGAGTTGCAGCCAGCAGTAATAAGTCTGTTGTAATTATGAACAAATTACATTTTACATGTTATTATTTGTATCTATATACAACATATAGAAGGCCTCTGTCAGTCCAAGCTCAGTATATCAGACCATGTCCTCTCGTTAATAACTCCTGCTACAACGGCAGTCTAGCCACTTGAACGGCCGTATGCTTGACTGCCGCCAAGTTTAAGCCTGGTATATTTCCGCACTGCACTGTGGACTGTTGATGGCTGAAGCCCACTTCCTAATTCTGAAATATGTCGGGAGAAATAAATTTGTATTTGGTTAAATTATATATTGATTAAGGTACCGCAATTTATGTCAGAAGCATAACTGGATTGTGAATGTGTACAAAATACATTAATCCATTCAAACTTGTCACGTTACAGCCGCTTACTGCCAGTCGTACTGTGAAGTAATTCCATTTTTCAAATCCTTACATTGGTGAAGAATAGGATTTTATTGTAACTCTTTTTATTTAAACAATTTCATTATTCAAGTAAAAAGCCTGGAATCAGTAATTACTTGATGTTTCCTGCATACAGCAATGAAATACTGAGTTCTATAAAACGTGGGGAATTTCTTTCACCTCCTAAGATTGTAGAGGTTACAAATGCGTGGATCTATACATCCACTCCCCATACGTCTCCATGGCGTAGTGTTTAATCATTCAAGCACAGGGACAACTTTATGTGGGCGACTATCAGGTTTCAAGAAAGATTATGTTGTATTGAGTTAGTACGTATGGAATTTTAATTAACAAAATGCGTTAATATGCAAATTCGTTAACTGAAGATCGTTAAGACAGGGCACAAGCGTGTCTACTCTTACACCTGAAAAATAGTTATATTTGCAAACTCGCAAGCTTTGAACAGTTATGAATTCATGTTGATACACGCTGGAACCTACAGGGCGTATCCATGCTCCACGAGTGTCCTGACCCCGGACTAAGAATGGATTACGTTGCATTACATAAGCACAGGTGTCTCAACTTGTGAAACACAGCTCGAATACACAAATAACAGCGATTTATAAGTCAATTAAACACTTGAATTACCTTTCACGTAAGCCTACATGTTTTTGAGTGCTTTCATGATCCGATGAAACTTGATAAAATATATTTCTGCTATATGAACAACTACCACATACAAGACACAACACTATTCCCAAATACAAGGAACCCAAATAAGAAGAGAACGCAATTACGTACCTATAAACCAGTAAAACAGATGCATCAGTACAAGACCAGGAAGAACAACAAATAAACACATCGGTATAAGAGACACATTTACACACAATCTCTACATCCGGAAAGAACATTAGAAAACCTTTCTTGCCTTTAATTTGAATGGTTTTACATTTTAGCAATTAATATTTGATCTTACAGGCGAACACACTTTTTTGTATATAGCGATATTACTATTACTGTTAAAAAAACAATATTCCAATATACAAACCCTGGCCAATATAGGAACACTAGCAGACGAATACACGTGAATGTAAGATGCCAAAATACCTGATGATGGCCGAAACATGTTGTGAAACGACAAATGTACGGTGTATCCATATTACCTATTTTGGTGACGGAATAAAATAAAGAAATTTCGTATGACTCATTTTAATTTACTTACTGATAATTTTACTCGTACTTATGGGCCTTAGTTAACATTCATTAAGCCCTTCGCCATATATTTATGAAAATCTTGCACTTAAATTATATGACTATTATGCCAGCTTACGTATGTGTGAGTGTTTTGGGGGGAAGGGGTGCTGAGGTGCGTCAGCACCTAGGCCGTTTGTTCATATCTGGAAGCCATTTAACAATCCACAACCTAACACGAAATAAAATTAATATAAGTTATAATCATCGATTGATTAAGAAGCGTTATATATTCTAGGATATAATACCGTGTATATTCTTGAAAGTCAGACGACATTTCAAAGGAACATGTCGCCTCCATCTTCAGAGTTGGAGAATAAGCCAAGTAAGAAACCAGCATGAAGCAGGTGGCAGACAGATCTTCAAGTTGGTGTCTTGCTTGGCTTATTATTCGAAAGTCCGTTGACTTTCAACGGACTACAAGGCGTTATATCCCAAAGAATAGAATTCTTAAAATTGTTGTTGCAGTCTTGACACTGAATGTTGCAAGCGAAGCAGAAGCACTCGTGGCTGACTGTCCAACAAATCCAACATAAAGGTCACTGTTATAGCCTTCAATATTCTGAACGGATAATATTCACTGTTAAACACTGGTACGATTTTCTTCAGAACACTTTTTGCCATCCCAGGCTACCATTTACCTTCCTAACTTTAATTAATTAATGGGCCGTTTCTAATACAAAATATAAAAAAAGTCGGATTCACTTTTAGTCCAGCGACAGGCTCTACTGAATGCAGAAATGAACCTTCGGATTACATTAAAGGTGGGTAATTTTTTACTGTCTGAGTAATTGTAAACCTCCCAAGGACTTCACTTTATGGGACCAGTTAATTAGACAGTTGGTTAGTTAATAATCACATATAATATTAATAAAGGTAAAACTGTCCCCGTAACAGATCCTGGAGGCCTACAGGGTTGTGAGACGTCGAGGCTCCCAAATTTTCTAGACAATAGACTCATGTATAGTAGTGAATTTGTCAGAATTACACGCCGGCAGCCCTTTACCGCCAGGAAGAGTCCTGGTACTCATTTCTGTTAGAGGCTAAGTCAACTCCAGGGCCATAGTGTGGCTGGAAGGATTAGATAATTTGAAACAAAGAAATTCAATGACCCCATAAGGAATTGAACCCACGATCTTCTGGCTTGAGGCATAGTGGTTCAACCAACTACGCTACCGCGTGCACCCATATATTATTAATAAGCCTGTAAAAACATAGAGACAGTAACTACAATAGTCTGAGTTTCTATAAAATTATGTACTTAAAAGAGTTTACTTTTGCAGGAAAAGAGGAAATGATAGAATATCTACTC